CACAGGTTTACTCATCTGCCAAACCGCGCATTGTCACAAGTGAGTGTTTCACTGACAGTCTTGTTATTGGTAACCAAAACTAAAACTATTAAAATTAGTTTTGTTAATTGAAATAAAATAAACTATAAATATTAGATGAAAAACTTAAATAGAAAAATGTTGCTTTGGCAACTAACTGAAATAAAATAAGCTTAAATTGAAGAACTAACATGACTAAAACTAAAACTGAAATAAAAAAAAATGCCAAATAAAAATATATTAGTGCTGTCAAACGATTAATCGCGATTAATCACATCAAAATAAAAGTGTTTGTTTACATAATATATGTATGTGTACTGTTTATCTATTATGTATATATAAATACACACACATACATATCGTATATATTTTGAAAATATTTATATGTATATACATTTATATTATATTATATATAAATACATTTAATATTTAAACATAATTTTCTTAAATATATACATGCATGTTTTTGTATTTATATATACATAATAAATATACACAGTACACACTCATATATTATGTAAACAAAAACGTTTATTTAGGATGTGATTAATCGCGATTAATCGTTTGACAGCACTAAAATATCTATAAAAAGCTAATACAAAATATTAATAAATACTTTAATAGTATATATAAAAATCTAAAATAACACAGATGATTGCATGTTGAAATAAGTACACAAAGGCTTATTGACATGAAAAAAAAATTAATGTTGAGTATATCAACAATGAAAATTAACCTATATACCTTTTTTTTCCTCTAGCACAAGAGCTGGTCTCCTCAGAATATTACATTTGGAACTCCACAGGTGACGCCCCGGTGTCCTCTGGACTCATGATGCTGTGACTGCCTTAATAAATCATTGTAGATATTAAACAAGGAATGATATTCTGTATGGAAATGCTGCTGTCATACAGTGTTAACTTACATTTACAGTCTGACTTTCGTATATCGGTGTGTTTTTTGTCAAAATATGAAATCCCAGAATGTGTCTTGAATGCATACGACTCCTTTATTTAGCTGAAAATGGGCTGATATATAATGAATGACTGGTCAGAGAACCTGATAAACATTTATTATATAATATTATTATTTTCCAGTCAAAAATATATTTAGTGATTAACTAGCTTTTATACAGCATAATAAGAAAAGTTTTTATCTGCACCATTTTTAATCAAATGCTCTTTAATTTTCACTAATAAGAAGTAATGAAGAATTAAAATTCAATTAACAGTTCTTTCATTTTGCTTCAGACTGGGTCCCCAGTGTTTACTGGTGTTCAGGCTTTGGTTTTCCCTATTAGCTGTTCAGCTGGTTTATATAGAGCCTCCTTGAGCTCACTCACAAGAGGACTTTGGCCCTGTGCTTGTTTGATGAGGCTGAAAAGAGTGTATTTTGATGGGAGAGAAGGAGAGAAGGCAATTGTTGAGGAGAAATTCCAGACTGGTATCCAAAGAGGTTCTTAATTAGTTTCCAAAGTGACCCATAGAGGTCCCACTTAAGCTTGTCTCGGTCTCTCTCCTGTCCAACAAAAACAGTTCATGGAGACTTAAAAATACCAGTCATCCAACTTGCAACTAAAGGACCCTTTAATTCTGGTCTTTTATTGTTACAATAGGAAATCAATTATGCAGCCTATGATGTTATAGAATGTATCTGCTTAACTAAATGTTATAAACCTAACCAGGTGCATAAATCGTGTCACCTTATACATTGCGTGGTTCTGGGCAGAAAGCCATTTCTGCATAGGTATAAATAGCAGCTGAGTTGCATTTGGCTGTCAATTACGGCTGAGAATTCCCATAGAGCAAGATGATGATGATGGTTCAGCTGGAGCCACATAAGAGCTCTCCACTGAAGCAAACCATTGTCTGAGAGATTAATTGTCTGCCACGTCTACTGATTGCCTTGCTGCGTCTCTGTAAGAACAAGGCAGGGCTGCATTCTCACAAGGATTTCCTCCTTAGAACACTGAGCGTGGTCAATCTTATGGCTGAAGCAAGTCTCCAATAAGGTCCTCTTCATTTGCTCTGTGTGTCTGTATTCAAAGAGCTTCTCAGAGAATTCCACACTTCCTCTTAGTCTGACTGGCTCCTGACCTGGAGTCAATCAGGCCATTCCCCGTCATACAGTAATTCTAAAGGAATGTGTTCAGGATTCTTATTGGAATTTCTACAATAATTAGGAATCATAATTTGAAAAAAAAGATGGTTGATTATTTTATTTAAATCTTGCGTCCTATTAGATATTATGTGGTCTTTATTGTATTGAAAAAATGTCTTCCAACACAGTTGAAGAAATAGCTATAATATTTTTATTTTAATAATTAAATTACAAAATTTTGATTTAAATATATAGTTGAGAGATTGAGAACATTGTGATCTAATAGATTTTTTTTGTCATGTTGGAATTAGGGTTATTAGGGTTAACTAAAACTAAGACCAAAAAAAAAAAAAAAAAGAATAAAATAAATGTAAACAGAAACAAAACTAAAACTAAAATATTAAAAACTTCAACACTATTCATTGATTTATAGTTTAACTTGATTTGTTAAAGAAACACTCCACTATTTTTGGAAATAGGCTCATTTTCCAACTCCCCTAGAGTTAAACAGTTGAGTTTTACCGTTTTCTAATCCATTCAGCCGATCTCCGGGTCTGGCGGTAGCACTTTTAGCTGTAGCTTAGCATAGATAATTGAATCTGATTAGACCGTTAGCATCTCGCTCAAAAATGACCAAAGAGTTTCTATATTTTTCCAATTTAAAACTTGACTCTTCTGTAGTTACATCGTAAGACCGAAGGAAAATGAAAAGTTGCGATTTTATAGGCCGATATGGCTAGGAACTATACTCTCATTCCGGCGTAATAATCAAGGAACTTTGCTGCCGTACCATGGGTGCAGCAGGCGCAATGAAATTAAAATATATTATTATTAAAAATATCGAAACTCTTTGGTCATTTTTGAGCGAGATGCTAACGGTCTAATCAGATTCAATGATCTATGCTAAGCTAAGCTAAAAGTGCTACCGCCAGACCCGGAGATCGGCTGAATGGATTCGAAAACGGTAAAACTCAACTGTTTAACTCTAGGGGAGTTGGAAAATGAGCCTATTTTCAAAAATAGTGGAGTGTTCCTTTAAATAAATAAACAAACAAATAAGCAAACTACATGGACACATTAAAAAAAACTAACCGCTAAAAACAATGAAAACTTACAACAGTTACTTTACTAAAAAAAAAAAAAATACTCAAACCTAGTCAAATATAATATCTCAATTATACTAAACTAATAACATTTATATCTGAAAATATTGGCTGCCATTCAAATATTTTTCTTCTTCTTCTTGAGGATTTTTGAACAGGATCATTAAAAAAGAAAACAGGTAGCCTAAATGTTTACAATTTAATAGAACATTCTCAAAGTTCATTTTACCTACCTTTATCTACTGAATTGGTCTACTGAACAGACAGCACTACTACTTCAACATGCTAGTTATTAAAGAGTATTATTTCACAAAGACAATTTTTCTGTAGCGTATAAAGTATTTTTAAAGAGAGCACACTCCAAACACACACTCTACATCAATGAACACCCACGATGTGCCCTGGGGCAAAGTCCCGCATCATCTGATGTATAGGTCCATCTAGTGGCTCTTCTTAGAAATAGATTTAATACATCCCAACTCCCAACTTTCTTTCTTTCTTTGAAATGTAAATGTTGGCCTACTATAATGGCGGTTTCCTGGAATTTTATAGCTTTTTAAAATGGCATTTTAGAAGCTTTAGAATGAAGGTCTTTGGTGTAGCCTTCAGAGAATTCCACGTTTTGTTTTACAACATAAATTATAGCCTACATACAACTTAAATATGACATACTCGTACCTCAAAATATATAAGCCGCTGCTTTAAACGTACAGTAGCTAAGTGACTAACAAATTGCTAGCTTGGTCGTGTGCTGTCAACATGCAGCGTCCATGAGTTCGTTGAGTGTCATTTTTGTGAACTAAAACTGTTTTAGTTTTAAAATCGTTTTCGTGCATTGAAGTAAAGGCTGAAATAAAATAACATTTTATGACATGAAAAAATTAGAATTTTAGGAAAATTAGAAATGGCAACAAACTGAAATAAATAAGTTTACATCTCAAGAAATACTAAAATGGCAAAACTAAAGCTAAAGATAAATATTAAAATAATCATAATAATAAAATGACAAAAGCACATGAAAATAACTAAAACGTAAGAAACTTTGAATATAACAAATGTATCATTTATTAACGCTTTAAACAAACAAGCTATCAATAAATGAATGAATGAATTTATAAATAAATAAATGAATAAATCAAACAAACAAAATAAATAAATAAATAGGCTAAATAGATAAAAAGTGCGCCTTTAATTTGTGTGAAAAGTGATTCAGGAAGTATAACCGATGACTATCAGTGGACGTCGGGCGAATACCAAACGGAAGTGAGCATCCCTATGCCCTGTGTTCTTTTAAGGGTGTAGGGCATTACTGTCTCGGCGAAGGGAATGACTGACCAAACGTTACCTTGACATGCTGCGCGTGCGTGCAGCATTCAGCACTCCATCAGTTGTTGCAAATAAATATTTCTTCTCATTATTATTATTATTTTATTTAAATATTGTCTCACTGTGTCTTATTTACTATTAAACTTTTTCAAACTAAACGTGTCTTACTGACAAAAAATATTTTGTATCACATTAAAATAAAGACAAATGTAATCGTTGTATGTGAAGTCGAAATCAACCCCAACTTTGCCTTAAAATGCATCGCAGGAGCGCCTAACTGAAGATCACATGATCACAAACGGAAATCACTTCCGTGAAGTGACCATGGCATGTTCCCTGAATCCCTTCGCTAACGGACTTCTGGAAGGGCCCTTCGTGAAGGGATTCAGTTGCTCACTTTCGTTTGGAACGTCCCTACACATGGCGTCCCCTTCCCGAAGTGCCCAAGGGCGCAAAAAAGCCGTTTGGAATTTGCCCAATATATTAAAAACTCAATTCCCCAGCATCCTTTACTGCAACGCGCCGACATAGTGTCGTAAATCATCCGCCCTGCTTTACGGCAGATAATAGGCCAGTGTGGAGTGAATTGAGTAATGGCAGGAACAGACACGAGATAGTCCACGAACTTTACGTTATTTTTACATTTATCAGGTACCAGCAGCCGGACGCACGTCTGTGTTCGTCGTCGTTCGCTGTGAGAGACTGATTCCGACCCGTTTTTCTGTCATCATAGTAACTGTATGCAGTGGAATGGCTGAAGTGCCGCCTGGGCCTAACACACTGCCTTCATCCCCGAGCGAGATCACACCACTGCCCGTGGACGGGTGCACCTTACTGGGCACCGATGAGGGACGGGACATCATCAGCCCCGGCCCGGGACACCAGCACGCTAGCAACCACAAGGCGATAGTCAAATCCAACCAGAACAACGTGCATCCTAATGCATCAGCCGCCCAGTTCCACACAGCCCAGCTGAACGGGGTCCAGTGCAACCACACTCGCCTCCAGAACCACGTCCAACAACACCGGCCGTCCGACAATCAAAACGCCGCTTCCGATCACCACTTGGACGGCATCTGCGAGACGCAGAGCGATCACACGGAAAACAACAATTTCACGAGAAATAAACGATGCAGTGATATATCGCAGAGCCAGTCGCCGCCGAACAACGGGATAAACTGCACTGATAGCATGGCGATAACGGAGAGCAGTTCGTGTCGACTGGAGAACAATGTAAGTAGCAGGACTGGTTCGGGGGATCAGGCTCGAGTGGCTGCGGCAGCGCTGATGGACGGGGCTGAGTCAGGCCCAGGCCCGCAGCGCGCTGGAGTAGATCAGGCGGCGGCTGACAGCGCTCCGGTGGCGGGGATGTCGAGACTAGCGCTGGAGGAGCACGACGACTCCATCCGATACGTGAGATACGAGTCTGAGCTCCAGATGCCCGATATCATCCGACTCATAACTAAAGACTTATCTGAGCCCTACTCCATTTACACCTATAGGTACTTTATTCACAGCTGGCCTCAGCTCTGCTTTCTGGTATGTATCCGTGAAGGGATTCAGTTGCTCACTTTCGTTTGGAACGTCCCTACACATGGCGTCCCCTTCCCGAAGTGCCCAAGGGCGCAAAAAAGCCGTTTGGAATTTGCCCAATATATTAAAAACTCAATTCCCCAGCATCCTTTACTGCAACGCGCCGACATAGTGTCGTAAATCATCCGCCCTGCTTTACGGCAGATAATAGGCCAGTGTGGAGTGAATTGAGTAATGGCAGGAACAGACACGAGATAGTCCACGAACTTTACGTTATTTTTACATTTATCAGGTACCAGCAGCCGGACGCACGTCTGTGTTCGTCGTCGTTCGCTGTGAGAGACTGATTCCGACCCGTTTTTCTGTCATCATAGTAACTGTATGCAGTGGAATGGCTGAAGTGCCGCCTGGGCCTAACACACTGCCTTCATCCCCGAGCGAGATCACACCACTGCCCGTGGACGGGTGCACCTTACTGGGCACCGATGAGGGACGGGACATCATCAGCCCCGGCCCGGGACACCAGCACGCTAGCAACCACAAGGCGATAGTCAAATCCAACCAGAACAACGTGCATCCTAATGCATCAGCCGCCCAGTTCCACACAGCCCAGCTGAACGGGGTCCAGTGCAACCACACTCACGTCCAACAACACCGGCCGTCCGACAATCAAAACGCCGCTTCCGATCACCACTTGGACGGCATCTGCGAGACGCAGAGCGATCACACGGAAAACAACAATTTCACGAGAAATAAACGATGCAGTGATATATCGCAGAGCCAGTCGCCGCCGAACAACGGGATAAACTGCACTGATAGCATGGCGATAACGGAGAGCAGTTCGTGTCGACTGGAGAACAATGTAAGTAGCAGGACTGGTTCGGGGGATCAGGCTCGAGTGGCTGCGGCAGCGCTGATGGACGGGGCTGAGTCAGGCCCAGGCCCGCAGCGCGCTGGAGTAGATCAGGCGGCGGCTGACAGCGCTCCGGTGGCGGGGATGTCGAGACTAGCGCTGGAGGAGCACGACGACTCCATCCGATACGTGAGATACGAGTCTGAGCTCCAGATGCCCGATATCATCCGACTCATAACTAAAGACTTATCTGAGCCCTACTCCATATACACCTATAGGTACTTTATTCACAACTGGCCTCAGCTCTGCTTTCTGGTATGTATCATGTCATTCGGTTATTCTTGATGGTGTTGAAGAGAGCAGTATCAAAGCCTTCACATATAACAAAATAGCTAACATTCATGTGTAAAACATGTATAAAATATTGCTGATTGATTCGCATTCTCGTATATCCTGTGCGTCCGAGAATAGTACGGTATTACCATTGTTTTTTGGACACATGCCATGTTACTTTGACTAAAATAAACATGTTACTATAGTAAGTGTTCCCAAAAAAAGAAGTCAAAATGTTTTTTTTACCATGGTATGTCTCAGAAACATGACCATTATATATAATCATGTCCAAGAACATTACACTGTTTATTTTTTACTTTGGGAGTGTATTTTTAAATGTTTGTCAATCCCCCCCCTCCAGCATAATCGCTGTTATAATCAAAATGATAATATGGCCATGGTACAGTGATGTAATATCATGGTCTAGCGATGCATACAATTTTACTGATTACTTAACATCTTGGTATATTTAAATTATATTCCAATGTACCTCAAAGAATATCATGATATTACCATGGTATGTGTCCAAAACATGGCATGACCATGTTACCGTAACTAATAAACAGTCATGGTAACTGTATTAATATACATTTTGTTGGCATTCTGTGGCTCAAAAACATGACATGAATAAATAACCGTCAAAAAAAAAACAAAAAACATTATACTGTTTGTTCATTGTATTTGATATGTATTTTTAAATGTTTCTCCATTCTTTTTTTCAAATGTCATATTGTTTAAAATGATGGATTTAGTCCATGTTAAATGTAACCACATCATTAGACACTTTCAAATATTTACTAGGATTCTACTGTAGTAACACTAAATATTATTTTATTGTATCTCTTGCAAAAATGTGTCATATTAAATCTGTTGGGGGTGAGGAAGTATACTTTCGTAACAGATGAACAGATGACTACCAACAAGTGTCATGGTACTCCTGTGTTGTTGTTTTAAGTGTACCATGCATTTTGGACCAATACTGTGGTAGGTTAAACATTCAGTACTATAGTATTTCTGCAGTGCTTATTTTTGTGAGATTCATTTTTTTATTACATTGACAGAAGCCATTGTAGTTTAACAAAAACCATAGTTTGTTTCACAGAAACCATAGTTACATAAATCTAACCATGGTAATGAGGAGCAGGCCATATCATGGTTTTACCTGTGGTTACTATGGCCTTATTTAAAAAATACCACAGTTAAACTGTGGTGACTATGCCAGAACTATGATACATTCAGGGGCGTTTAAGAGTATTTATAAATGTATGAACACAACAAGTTCAGGGTTGTGTAATTATCACAAATTGAGCCTAATAATAGAGATATTTGTGATTGTTTTGCTCATAGTTCACAGCCCACAAGAGTAATTGCAGTGTCTTGATGACTGTCTTTCTGTGATGTGTCACAGGCGATGGTTGAGAAGGACTGTGTCGGTGCCATTGTGTGTAAGCTAGACATGCATAAGAAGATGTTCCGTCGCGGATACATCGCCATGCTCGCTGTGGACTCCAAATTTCGCAGGAAAGGCATCGGTAAGAGCCGTGCTAACATTGTAGCCCTCATCTCAGAATGGCAACAGAAACGGATCTTTTTATAGGACACACATCTGCTTCAGTGTCAGCTCATGGATACATTTAGTGTCTTTGAACTGCTATGAATCAAGGGTTTGCCATTCTGTGTCGAAGGAGCCTGATCATTCCATGTGTTTTTTTCCCATTCATATTGTATTATTTACCATGTTCAACAGGTATTTATAATACTTGGAATGTGTTATGAATTATTGTACTTATTCTTTGTTAGGCACCAACCTTGTGAAAAAGGCCATTTATGCTATGGTGGAGGGAGATTGTGATGAGGTAAGAGAATCATCTTGTCAAGATTTCACACTATGGGTGTGTTTGGAATGGAACTACTACATACTTCATACTACACGGTAGACTTAGAAGCATGGATTTTCCCAGGCGAGAATGAAAATGCTTTTTTTCTAAATTCTTGCTGAAATTGTTAATAGTATTTTAATATTTAAAAAAATTACTGTAATTTTAAAATAATAAATGAAATATTTATAATATAGTGCTGTCAAATCTATTAATTGCATCCAAAATAAAAGTTTGTGTTTACATAATATATGTGTGTATTGTGTATGTTTATTTTGTATATAAATACACACACATAGCATATATTTAGAAAATATTTACATGTATATATTTATATTCATATAATTTATCTTATATAAATTTAATGTATAAACGTAACATTTTTCTTAAATATATACATGCATATGTGTATTTTATAGATACATAATAAATATACACAGTACACACACATTAAGTAAACAAACTTTTTTTGGATGAGATTAATCGCACGATAAACCTTTTGACAGAACTAATAAAAACAAATAATTATTTGCTGTATATATATATATATATATATATATATGTCTATGCATGTATGATTTATATTATACAAAAATATATATTACATATATACATATATTTCTTAAAAATATACATGTATGTGTGTTTATTTATATATACATATAAATATACACAGTACACGCACATATTATGTAAACACAAAACTTTTATTTTGGATGCGATTAATCACAATTAATCGATTTGACAGCACTAATTTATAAGTGTTTTAAACTGCCTTATGTTACATTGTTGTCATGTGGATGTTTTTCACTTATCTCAGAAATAAATGCAATTCATTATTATATATGTTAAATGTGATTATGATGCATTTATAAAAATTTTAAGCAGCACAACTGTTTTCAACATTGATAATAAAAAGGGGTTTGAACACCTGAATCAGCATATTAGAATGATTTCTGAAGGATTATGTGACACTGAAGACTGGAGTAATGATGCTGAAAATTCAGTTTTGCCATCACTGGAATGATTTGCATTTTAAAAACATTCAAAAGCATTAAAAAAACAGTACCAACTGAGAGTATGTGGTAGTGCGTCTTTCCAAATATGCCACAACTTCTGTCTTCCCTCACCTATGTTTTACTTAAGAGTGTACTTCAAAACCTGTACTATGCCCATTATAGGGCCTTTCGCACCGCTTTAGTTCCAGAACTAAATGTACAGTACTAAAGTACTGGGACGATTTTGCGCGAACTATTTATGTCTACATGTTTGTTCTTATCCTTAGGTGGTGCTAGAGACGGAAATCACCAACAAATCAGCCCTGAAACTCTATGAGAACCTGGGCTTTGTCAGGGACAAGAGGCTGTTTAGATATTATTTAAACGGAGTGGACGCACTTCGGCTCAAACTCTGGCTTCGCTAAAATCAAACTACGGGGTCCCTCAACTCTTTCTCCATCCCTTTGGCCTACTCTTCCTCCGCCCCTGTCCTCCGGCTCAGATCACATGACTTCCCATCAATAGAAAGGACACTCGACCTCTGCTGAGCCACAAAGGGCAAACTCTGAGGGAAAATTCAACCAATCATAATAAAGTGTTTTAAGAACTTTTTGTGCGAAAGAAAGAGAGGTTATTGCAAAAAAAAAAAAAAAAAGTCGGGTACTAATATGACACTGACACCGAAAAGGAAAACGTGGTGGCTTCTTAGCTCAGGTGTCAATAGCGTGACTTAAGACCTCTGTGTATTTGTGTCGGGCAGTGGAGAACGAACATGTTGACGGCATCAGCGAAATGTATCATGCCGAAAGCAAACAATGCGCCACACCTCTGTTGTTGTTTTTTTTAATTTTTTTATGAACAATCACAAACCGAAGGATGGAAATGTGTTTAAACCGACTCAACTACTCAAATGTTTGTTTTACCATTTTTTTTCCCTAAAAGAGGGTGCACAGGAGCATTGCAGGTTGCAATTGTCTTGTAGCCTGCTGCTTTTGTGGGGTTTTTTGAGTGTGAGAAAGTGTTTGGGGCCCCTATTGTAATATTGTGTCACCTGAGATGTTCTTTCAAAGTTTAAACTAAGAATACTTGTTCTTCCCTACTTCCTGTAGCTTTATTTGTTTCTTCTTTCTGTTTTACACAAGGGTTTTAACAAACAGAAAGCCTACATTGCAGCACAAGGGCCCTTAAAGTCCAGCACAGTGGATTTCTGGCGGATGGTGTGGGAGCAGAATGTGGGAGTGATTGTTATGATCACAAACATCATGGAGAAAGGAAGGGTGAGCCATTTTAGTGCAGGTTCTACCTAAATTAATTGATGTAATGTCTGACATTTAAAAAAATAGTTCACCCAAAAAATATTTCTCTTATCAGAAACATTTTCATATGGCTTCAGAAGACTTGAAATATAGCCCACAAGTCACATGGACAAGAATATATATGTATATATTTTTTTATTTTCTTTTGGAAATGCAAAATTGTACTGGTTTAGAAGAGGATGAGAATGAGTAAATTATGACATTTTTATTTTGGGGTGACAAGACAATAACAAATTTGGGTTCATTCAGCCTGAACACAACAATGTTTATCCATTTCTCAGAGGAAGTGTGACCAGTACTGGCCTCTGGAGAACCAGGAAGACTATGGATGTTTTTTGGTTACTGTTAAGAGCACAAAAGTCCTCGCGCACTACACCCAGAGAACCTTCACCATCAGAAATACCAGCATAAAGAAGGTATCAAGTAGGCATACACAATATATTGGAACAATAGTAGTTAAGGGCTGATATTAGAGTTTTTTTTTTTTTTTTTGGGGTTTTTTTTTTTTTTTGTTGTGTGTGTGCGTATGGGGGTCTGTGGTTTATTTTATGTGTTTAATTTTATGTTTTGGAAAACACTGATTAGAGCTTTGTCCACTTTAGAAGTTTGATCTATGACAAACTAACATACACAGATTCAGAAACACTTTAACCTGAATGCTGCGAAGCAGTGCAGATGGCACCTCTGCTCTTTTAAGTTGGTCTTATTAGCTCACACTATGCCATATTGGTTTATGTGACTTGTGATTCTGACACAAATGTCGTTATCTCGATGCTTCTTCATGAGTGTTTTGTACAATTAAATTGAAATGAAAATTAGTTACTAAATGGGCCTAAAAGAAGAGTATTCCCTGTTTTTTGAGGACTTCATCATCATAGATTCTCCCTTTCCATGTCTGAGACAATGTTTGGATATACAGATGTGCTGACCTAGACAAATGAACCTCAAACGTACGCACTTCTCATTTTTGCACTGATTAGATGGGGTGTAATTCCTTTGTCCGCCACTGCGTTAGTGGACCAGTAGGGGGCAGAATACAGATCTCACCTGCTCAGTTGCTCCAATGGACTCATGCAAATAGTTGCTTTAAAGTCATGAAACAGATTGATTTATATGCAAGATGACATTGTTTAGAGGTGTTTTAAAATTAAACAGGAAGTTTCCGGAGGTTAGCGATTTTATGGGTTTGTGTTTAACAGTAGTGTGCTGTGGCAGGTTGTACCATCACCACGTTGTATGTAAGTATTTCTGTGTCATTGTCAATAGACCCCCATTTTGCTTTGCTGCTGGCTCATGAGTTGTTCTTGGAAGAAAACCTTTTTGTTTTTTCAAGTTTGGAGTGGGAAACAAGTTTTTTTGATTTGCTAAATGTACATATGGAAGTTTGATTTGTCGTTTTTGATTGTCATTGGAAAAGTTCCCCATAGAGCTGCTGCTCTCAGTTGTTGAGAATATGGATGGGTTGCTTTATGAATTTGCGCTTAAAATAGATATTTACTGATGGATTTATGGGAAGAGGAATTTATGCTGCATCTTTTTTTTTTTTGTGCTTTCGGTTTAGTTGCGTTTTTTAGGCCCAAATTGTAGTACATCTCCCAGAAATGTAATGTCCCATCAATCCCCTTTGACGCATCAGACCGTGTGCTGTCTGTCAGTAAGGCTCAGGTGTTTGGTTTGTGCTCAACACTTGTCAGGGGCTCCTTTCAAGGTCCCAGTGGTTATTAACAGCCAACTTGTCTTTGTAAGGACTTTATTCCTTTTGATCTGTGGACAGTCGATGTTAAAATGGAAATTTGAGAGCCTTCGAGTAGTTTTCATCTAAACAGACCATCAAAGTCAGTCTTTAGATTGCAGATGTAAATTTAGTCTGAAATCAAGGGATAGTTTAGATTCACATCATTTACTCACCCTCATATTGTTCCAAACCTGTGCGTTTTTGTTTTCTGTAGAAGATATTTTGATAAATCAGGTTTTTTCGTCCATAGAGTTGAGAGTCGCTTGGGTTCAAAACAACATTGGATCCCACTGACTTTTATTGTATGGACAAAAGCAGTTGAAACGTCCTTCAAGATATGTTCTTTAATGTTCTGCTGAAAGAAGAAAGGTTCAGAACTACATTAGTTATGGCCGTTTTCTTTTTTGAACTATCCTGTTAATGGATTAGTTCACTTCTGAATTAAAATTTCCTCCTAATTTTCTCACCCCCATGTCATCCAAGATGTTCATGTCTTTCTTTCTTCAGTCGAAAAAGCAGTTGAAACGTCCTTCAAGATATGTTCTTTAATGTTCTGCTGAAAGAAGAAAGGTTCAGAACTACATTAGTTATGGCCGTTTTCTTTTTTGAACTATCCTGTTAATGGATTAGTTCACTTCTGAATTAAAATTTCCTCCTAATTTTCTCACCCCCATGTCATCCAAGATGTTCATGTCTTTCTCTCTTCAGTCGAAAGGAAATTAAGGTTTTTGAGGAAAACATTCCAGGGTTTTTCTCTATATAGTGGACTTCAGTGGGGTTCACTGGGTGGAAGGTCCAAATTGCAGCTTCAAAGTGTTCTACACGATCCCAGACGAGGAAGCAGGGTCTTATCTAGCGAAACGATCTGTCATTTTCTAAAAAAAATTACAATTTATTTACTTTTTAACCTCAAACGCTCATCTTGTCTAATTCTGTGTGAACTCTGTACATTCCGGTTCATGACAGCTAGGGTATATCGGAAAACTCCCATCTCATTTTCTCCTCCAACTTCAAAATCATTAAAAATCATCCTACATCGCTGTTTTACCGTTTTTTTGTAAAGGGCGTTTGACCTTCTTTGCACGTTCACTTTGTAAACACTGGGTCGGTACTTCTGCAGCGATGTAGGACGATTTTGAAGTTGGAGGAGAAAATGAGATGGGAATTTTTCGACCTACCCTAACTGTTTTGAATGGGACTGCACAGAGTACGCATGCGCATTGCAGAGCTACACAAGACAAACGTTTGAGGTTAAAAAGTATATAATTTTTATTATTTTTTTAGAAAATGAACGATCGTTTCGCTAGATAAGACCCTTCTTCCTCGTCTGGGATCGTGTAGAACACTTTGAAGCTGCAATTTGGACCTTCACCCAGTGAACCCCACTGAAGTCCACTATATAGAGAAAAACCCTGGAATGTTTTCCTCAAAAACCTTAATTTCTTTTTTCATCTTGGATGACATGGGGGTGAGAAATTTTTATTCAGATGTGAACTAATCCTTTAAAGCAGCACTATGTAACGTTTTCTGTGTTCAAAATTTGTAACAGATAAGACCCTTCTTCCTCGTCTGGGATCGTGTAGAACACTTTGAAGCTGCAATTTGGACCTTCACCCAGTGAACCCCACTGAAGTCCACTATATAGAGAAAAACCCTGGAATGTTTTCCTCAAAAACCTTAATTTCTTTTCGACTGAAGAAAGAAAGACATGAACATCTTGGATGACATGGGGGTGAGGAAATTTTAATTCAGAAGTGAACTAATCCTTTAATAAAATTCAAAACCTTTCACAAGGTGCCAAACTTAACAGACAATAATGCATTTCTGGCTGTCGACCGTCACCATTCAATGCTGCCCATGTTTTCGTATTGGATGAATACTTATTGTTTAAAATTGTGGTTGGCACGATTGTTTTTTTGCACTGCCAATATCTGACTTTTATGGATTATATTACTGTAAGCTGTCCATCAAATGTTATGGCCATTTAACAGCTTTAGACCGAACAGCTGGCAGGTTCTAGCTGGGTAAGATATTTAGATGATGTGGACACTAATCTGACTGGCTTCTGTTTTGGGGAATTATTCATTAATGGGACTCATTTTGAATCTGCACTTGTGGCTAATTCTCATCCCTGTAAACGGTGGAGTTTATGTTGTAGTTAGTGTTACTCTTGTACTTTCAGCTGATTTGGACAAGTGAGACCTGCTCCACAAACATGGATCCATTTTGTTGGGGAAAGAGCGGCTGTTTGCATGTTGATTAAAATTTTCTCCACCCTTCTTTCTCCCACTTTCACCCTTGACAAAATGTCTTTCAAACGTTTCTTTGTTTTCAAGTGAACAACAGACCTGGTTTAAAAATTATAAATAAATTATTTGATTTTTAAGCAAATGTTGTAACTTGTTCTTTCTGAAAGGAGAAATGGGGACTTAACATTTATAATTTGTAATGTAATGATTTCCATTTGATTTTAATTATGTGATTTAAGGTTACGTGTGTAATAATGGATGTGGCAATCAAGCAGAACCACATGTTTGGCTGTACGATAGTAGCCAGGGA